AAATTTCGTTCAAATACCGTCATATAGGTTTAAAACTATGAGGAGTCTGATGAAAATACTTTGGAGATCTCTATACGACTTTTCAAGGATCTCTGAAGGTCTCCTGAAAAACTGTTTTCTAGAAAATTCAGGAATTCGTGGTTTTTTCGAAACGAAATGTTGAGTATTGACCAGAATGTCAATACTTATTTTTCTTCGCATTCCTTATATTTTTTCGTGTTGTCATTATTTCTCTCTCTGCCTGTACTTGAACAGACGAGTATTTGTATTCTATTTTATTCTTTTGTTCAAGGTCAGATATATCTTCTTTTTTCATGTATTTTCTCTCTCTTTATACTTGAATATCTCTGTCTGATTCGTCAGTTCATTATTAATGGTGAAATGTTTTTTGTGAACGTGAACACTTTTCTATTGTTTTCGTTGAAGTCTTTGTGCAAATGCCTTATCCTTCTCTATTCATCTACTTTCTCTCTATCTCTCTGTGCGGGTATATATACGGGCGCAAACGCTCATTTTGTTCATGTTTATTGTTGGACTGTAGTTGGTTATCTTAGTGAATTAAATACATATATTAAAATAATATCGTTATTCTGTTAGAAATCATTGAAGAAGGGTGAATATTGTAAGTACAGAATATGACACTAAACTATCTGTTTACGTTGTATATGGTGATTTATCTATTCCAGATAGGTATTTGTTCATTGTTCGTTAAAGATCTGATGCCTAAACGTAGTAAACGCCGTTCACAGTCTCGAGCTGTGTTGTATAAGCGTTTGTCAGCTGAAAATGCAAAACACAAAAACGACGATGACCATTCTACAAGCGAAGAGGAAGAAAATACGATAATTAGTTCTGATGAAGAGCTTCAATCCGTAAATTTTACTGATAAAACTATAGTCAACGACATCGCTGATTTATTCGAATTGTGTCGGTCTAATTGTTCATCGAAAAATCTCAGTGTTTTGCTATATATGACCATGCGACATTGGGGAGTCTCTTGGCGCGACTGTGATAATTTCTTGAAAGAAATTGGAGCATTCGCAAGTGAAACAGCGCATAAATGGAGTAGAATTTTTGTTTCTACAGACCTTGATGAATTTTGTGGCGAAAATCGTGGTGGTAAACATAGCAGTGATTTGTATGATTATTTTACTGAATTAGAAACGCAAGGAAAAATTTTTACAATCGAACAATGCTCAAAAAAAGCGGCGAATTTCCCTGCCTATCATTTAGCAGAATTTCTGGACGCAAAAGTTTATGAAATAACTGGAACTATTAAGAATGATAATGCTCAACTTGTCAGAAGTGTTGCTTCTTGTCGCCTTGACCTTCGAAAATGGGGCGCTAGATTTGAACGAAACTCACAACGCCCCTATTTCGAAGGTCATGAACGTCCAGATGTCATTGAACATCGTCAAAGATTCATTAAATATTTTCTCGATCGCAAAGATTATTACTATACAATTTCTGAAGGTGATAATCCTACGTGGGTAGTTCCTACTAAAAATTCGCCACATGTTTTGTTGTGTAAGTGCATTCCTTAAAACTTAATAGAAAGAATTCTCGTCTTAATTTTATTTTAAAATTGGTTTAGTTCATGACGAAAGTACGTTTCGTTCCGGTGACGTAGCAACAAACCGATGGTTCTTCGGAAATGAGGCTCCTTTTCATTCCAAAGGAAGAGGACGTTCAATCATGATAAGCGACTATTTAGTTCAACATCCTTCCGGTCCTTTCTTCACGTTGAATGAAAAAGAGTATGAAAAAGCCATTCAACGTTATCCACAGTTACAGACGGCATCTGATGTTAATTATAATGATAGAAGCGCTACAGCATCAATCCATGTCGGTCAAGATTCCTATTTCGACAATGAAACAGTATTAGAGCAGTTTGAGAGATTATTTCAGTTAATTGAATTCAAAGAGGATTTTAAAAATCATAAGATCGAAATAGTCGTGGATAATGCACGCACCCACACCGCAAAATCTCATAGTCTACAGGATTTCGGAAAACGCATTGGAACTCGTTGTCCTGTCGACAAAATAGAATACGTTGATTTGCAAGGAAAAAGACAAACTCTGAATTGCTATTTTCAAAATGGACGTCATCAGGGATTAAGCAAAGGATTATATGAAATTAGTAAAGAGTTAAATGTGATTTTACCATCGAAAACGACTCTTGAAGACTTACATAAAGCATTAGCTGATCATCCTGCATTTAAAGTTGTAAGTTTACATCTAAAAAACTGGAATATTTTCTCACTTTATAATCTTCTCTTTGTACAGCCTTCACGTCTCGAGCAACTGGCACAAAAATATAATATCAGAATACTGTTTTGCCCGAACTTTCATTCTGAACTTAATGCGATTGAGGGCCTTTGGTGTCATCAAAAACAGTTTATACGAAGAAATACCGATCAAACTTACAACTGTATGCTGAAACTAATTGTCGAATCTCGATGCAATTTTGATGAAAAGAACGTTAATTTGAAATTGCTAAGACGTTTCTGGCGCTGTTTGAATGCTTACAAAAACGGAGAGACCTACGCTGAAGTTCTACAGTTATTTTTCAGTAACTTGTGTAGTGGAACATCTATAAGCCATACTAAAATCAGCAACAGTAATCTGACTTGAAAAAAAGAAAATAATAGGTTCAGTGATTCTCTCTCCACGGTTTCTCATTAAACTTTGTATAGTTCTGTTGAGTTATTTTAAATAAAATCATACAAAAAGAAGTTGCAGAGAAAAGCGAAGCTAATGAATGGATCAACACAGCCTAAAAAAGTTTAGAAAGCTACAAAATGTTGCAAAACAACAGTTTGTCTAGAAAACAGTTTTTCAGGAGACCTTCAGAGATCCTTGAAAAGTCGTATAGAGATCTCCAAAGTATTTTCATCAGACTCCTCATAGTTTTAAACCTATATGACGGTATTTGAACGAAATTTGGAGAAAATCAGAAGAGTTAATTGAAAACGACCGCTCCGTTTGCCACATGATTTTTGAAAAGGCCATTTTTCTCAGTAACAGAGAAGAATTTTGGAAAAAGCTCATCGTAACTTTGTTCTACGTTGAACGGCGGATCTAATGATATATGAATGAATGGGTCACCTAATGACCTAAAAAACTAGATAGGTTTACAAAACGACCATGTTAATTCATCGCATTGGTCCATTCTCGCGTCCGTGCCCGGCATACGTTGACGTCTACAAAGGATCTGAAAATTTGCTTTTAGATTAGTTTTTGACGCTGATTAAGAAAATAACAATTTGGTCGTTCCAACTAGAAACCCAAATGAAAAAATCCAACATTTTTGAAAAAGGTCGTTTTTTTCGATTTTTCGGATCATTGAAGTTTCCTCGTCTTTTTCATATAAAAAAGGGATTAGAAAAAATTAAAAGCCACATATTCTTAATCAGCTCGACACGCTCTATCGAATGGTATGTAATAAAACCTAAAAAAAATTTGCTCGATTTTTGCATTATTTGCACCTTATAAAATTCTATTTACATACACGAAACGCATAACACAACAGTTACAGTGAGTGCTAGAACTACTGTCCGATATTAGCATACATTCATTCGAAAGTTGATTAAAGCTAAACATGATAAACATGCAAGTCGATCACTTGTTATGAAACCATGCAATGAAAATATTCTTTCACCTGAGAAATTTTGGAAAATGTCGGAAATCTGTCGTTGTTTTGGTTCCAGCAGATGAGAGCACGTATGCTTGTAGTTATTTCTGGCACACTGAGATAAATAGTAACTTATATTCGTTTGACATACTTGTTTGTAAGTGACTATTTTATCGAGAATTGATAGTAGGTGAGGTGATGAAAGTGATGAAACAGATGTGATAGTGATTATCAACACTCCGGATCCTGTTATTGAAATTATCTGATATTCATCTTTTAATAATTGTTTCGCTAACTGACATGCAGTAGTTGATTTCGTGCACAACTATCAAATGAAAAATGTATTTTGTGCCATACGTATGAGATCTCGTTTCATTTAGCAGTCCTATTTTAAGAATATTCGTTCTTTGTTAATATTCTAACGTCATTAAGAAAGAAAAAAAACTCATCTGAATAAGGACGTTGTAGAGACAGTGTGCTTTTATGCGCACACACACATGTCGTTACGGTTCGCACAAAGACAAAACTATTGACAAAAATTGTTATTTCTCACGGATTATTCAGAACTCAAGCTAATCTGTAGTTAAAATAGACGATAAAGTTTGTACGGGTATGAAAAGACAAACGAAAGAAAAATGAAATTTGGAAAACTTTAAATTTGTTTTGCTTGCTAGTAAGAATGCATTGATTATATTTCTAATGTGGTAACTGATCATATTATTTTGATTGTGCCACTAACACTAGGCGAAACTCTCGTTTCACTCACTTCCGAATGTATAAAAACGGTTTCATCTGTTTATTTAAATAGACGATTTTTGGCTTAATTATACATCATTCCATACAACTTTTCAAGTTGATCAAGAATATCTTTATCTTAACCTTATTCATACAAGTTTTCAGTGACAAAAACAGGGCTGGGCAACTCCAACTCCACTCCATTTTCAAATTTCCAACTCCAACTCCATTTAAAACCTTTTTAGCGTTTCAAACGCGCTAAAAAGGTTTCCATAACCACAGTTTCAAGTGCAGAGTCAAACGTTATAAAAGAAATATATGTTAATTTTTTCAATGTTTTGGGATTTCTTGCTTGAGACAATGAACTATTCTAATTCGGATATCTCTATGTAATTTGGCTTAAGATACCAAAACAAACGTCTTCCTTTGTTCATCCATCTCCTATATATACTCGTTCTGCATAAATGACTTCCGTATCTGTCTCTTCGTCTATAACATATCGAAAATAGCGAAAAAAAATAAGTAAGACTACTTAATCAACGATACTTCTATAAACTATGTTTCATCTCACTGTTGTTCGGTTACTTCAATTAACATCTACTCATTGTAGCATCTCGAAGTAAAATCGGGTTTTCAAAATAATTCAGCTTTGCGTATTCGTCAGATATGCCTCCACAAAACAATTGATGATTTTCCATGCTCTTTCGAATGAGCACTGTTAAAAGAAAAAACGATTTTTGGTCAGATATTCAGTATTTCTATCTGTACCTGATACTGTCGCAGATCCTCTCCCGAGAATCGTAAGTATATGAAAACTGAAAAAGTAATTAAAAATCCACTAAATCCACGCAAAATTCATAGTTTTTTGATGTTTCACAGTTTAGTCTCATTGTCAAAATATTGTACAAGATATTTCTCTATTGGTTGGTGTTTGACAGTCTCATCACGCAAAATTCATAGTTTTTTGATGTTTCACAGTTTAGTCTCATTGTCAAAATATTGTACAAGATATTTCTCTATTGGTTGGTGTTTGACAGTCTCATCGTCGGTTATTCGAAAGAATATTTTAATAAACAACTAAAAGTACATGAATTGTGCTTCGCCACAATTACTTTGCTTAGTTATGTTGAATCGAACACCATTCATTAAAATCAACTCTCTCCAACGAACATGCACATCGGTTGATAGCTAATTATAAATTGTATCACTGTTTGCGCAACTTATTTGCTTTTTACATTAACCAACGTTCTGTTCGCCCTTTCAAATAAATAAACGAAACCGTTTTTTGACATTTCGGAAGTGGGTGAAACGAGAGTTTCGCCTAGTGTTGGTGGCACAATCAAAATAATATGATCAGTTACCACATTAGAAATATAATCAATGCATTCTTACTAGCAAGCAAAACAAATTTAAAGTTTTCCAAATTTCATTTTTCTTTCGTTTCTCTTTTCATACCCGTACAAACTTTATCGTCTATTTTAACTACAGATTAGCTTGAGTTCTGAATAATCCATGAGAAATAACAATTTAGCTAGCGAATGATGAAAACCGCAGACCTCTATCTTTTATTCCTTTTGAGTTATTCAAAAATAGCCACCAGTCTTGTATTTTAGCGCCAATAGTAACGCAACAAACATTAGAAAAGAAAGAAAAAGGAACGTAAGATTGACATAGTACAGATTACCAGTCTTGCTCTCTAAGACTGTTAACAAAAAAGAAAAAGAAAACTAATTTGCTTAATCTGAAATATGAAAACCTTTGTTTTACTTAGCTCAGCAAATTTGTTTCCGACAAAGTAATGATTTTCAGACGAAAAAACGTTTTTTCCCTCGGTCGGTCAAACTAATTTTTCCTCTATCGACCGGTTGACTGTCAAAAAGTTCTGACCGGACCGGGCAGTTGTTGGTACCGGTTACATCTCTGGTACGATCTATTTTCTATTTTAAATTCACACAATCGTGAATTTTCTCAATTCACATTTTGTTTACCAAGATGATAAGAGTTGGATTGATCCAAAACAAGCATTTATAAGGTGACGGTGAAACTACTTTAAAAGGACCTGTACAAATCAAAGGAAAATTGGACCTGAATTTTCAGGCATATCGTAGATTTCTGATACTAAATTTACTTTAGGATATGTTTCAATTATTTTTGAAAGCATTCTCTTTGGTTTCGAGTTGTTACTGCTGTCTTTACAAAATAATCTGCTCTTTTGTGACAGTGACGAAAGAGGATTAAGAGTAATGTGTTTAGTTCTGAGCCTAGTGAACTAAATAGAGCACTGATCCTTACTTCTTCCCTTTTTGTACAAGAATTTACAGTCATACGAGACCTCATCTGATTAAAACATGATATAAAGAGAGACAGAGAGAACCGCATGTGCAAAATAATCAACATTTTAGCGAAACGACATCTTATTTTTACGTATTCATTCTCAGGCCTAGTACTGTGATCTCGTGCATAATTAGGAAATCTGATATTCTCATTCTGCAAAGAAAAAATAATCAGATCGAGAAATTAAGAGTCCTTAGAACTGATTAAACAAACATTACATTACTGCAACAGTCTTTTCTCAGACACATAAAACTAAAATGAGTTCATCCGCAGCGTTGAGTGCCGTCACAATTATCACACCCGAAATTGATCGACCGATATTAATGACAATCATTATCGTCGGCATCATTAGTAATCTGTTGAACATCCTTGTATTTACGCACAGCAGATTACTACGTCAATATTCATGCTCAAGATATTTCTTGTGCTCATCAATTGGCAACCTCTTTGTTATATGCTACAGTATTTTTCTCACATTACTTACCAACGGATACGGTATTAATCTCACAGCGACTTCGATTTCGTTCTGTAAAATTCATTCGTTTTTGGCCTACTTATTCGTCACACTGCCAACATGGTTTATCGTACTTGCTTGTATTGATCGATACTGTTCAAGTAGCAAGAGCGTCGAATACCGCCGATTCAGTTCGATTAAAACGACATACTACATCATACCCATCGCCGTTGTTTGCTGCTGCTTAATATACTCACACGTACTGGTGTATTTTCAGTACATTGCGATACCAGTAAATCCAACAATCAGTATTCGAGTTTGCTATCAACGTCAGGGTATCTACAGCCAGTTTCTCAACCTATTCTTTCTAGTTACATACTGTTTCATTGTCCCATTCCTAATGGTTCTTTTCAGTTGTTTGACACTTCGTCATGTGCGACGACAGCGACGCCAAATTCGTACAAACATGAACACGATCCGTATGAAACAACGTGATAAGCAAATTATTACCCTTCTCTTGTGTCAGGTGTGTGCCTATATTCTTCTAGCATCTCCACTTTGTTTATATCTCATATACCAAGCATTTAACTTACAATTGTCAGTAATCGCAATCTTCTTAGGAAAACTATCACAATATTTATTCTATTGTAATTTCATTATCGGATTCTACTTAAACACGCTGACTGCCAAAACGTACAGACAAGAATTTTTGGTTATTCTCAACAAACTTATGCAGCGAGTATTCAAAAGTGATCTAGTTGAAAGACGTCTGTTGCGCACAAACACAGTTTCAATCGTATCGACAAGATTAGTGAAACAGCAACAAAGAACAATCACGCACGACAGATTCTGATACAATACTGAAAGTTGCAAGCAGAACAGTTAACGTTTCTACTTTGACTGCATTAACTTCTGTGTGTGTATTTATAAGTTATTAAGGAAAAAAAGACAAAAAAAAGAAAAGATACATATATTAGTTCATATTTAAAACATAAAATTTAGAAAATTAAATTTGCCACATCTTATGTTCGAGACACAACTCTCGAAAATGCTTTTTTCAAACTGAAAACACTAATCTCT